CCCCCCCCCCCCCCCCCCGTAATCTGCATTTTATCCCTTCTCACTGCCCTGGAGCTACCTGAGGTTGTTTTCTCACGGACCTCTTTAAAAAGGCGGTGATTTTTTAAAAAATTTTTGTTAATATTTCTATTTGAGAGAGAGAGAGAGAGAGAGAGAGACAGAGCGCCAGCAGGCGAGGGGCAGAGAGAGGGGGAGACACAGAATCTGAAGCAGGCTCCCGGCTCTGAACTGTCAGCACAGAGCCCGACACAGGGCCCGAACCCACAAACCGGGAGATAGTAACCTGAGAGGAAGTCAGACGCTTAACTGACTGAGCCACCCAGGTGCCCCGCAGAAGGCAGAGACTCTTAAACCTTCCCTCCAGGAAAGTTTGGACGAACATAAAGCCTTGTGATTCAATTTCCAGGGCTGTGGAGTCCCATAGAGGGACCGGGGTTAAGGACCCTGATGTCCTATAAGTTCTGTGAGGGCAGGGCCCATACCCCAGTCTTCCCACTGCCCCTTCTGCAGCCTGTATCCGTGAGTCTTCCCAAGTGCTCAGACAAGCCAAGGCCAAGGCCAAGTGCAGTATCCCTCTCAGGGAGGACGACAGTGAGCACAGGGACTCTGGGCCAGCTGGAGGAGTGCTGAGGTCTCTCGAGTCAAGGACACCACTTACCACGCTGTCCCCCGTGTCGGGGACCGGCACCGTCTTCACCACCAAATCCACCCCTGTCGTCTGCCGAGGAAAACGGAGAACATGCGCGTCAGAGGCTCCCAAGAGGCGTGTTACGGGACATGATGAATATTTGATGCCCAGGAGGCAGAAGTGCCGCGTTCTGGGTTCACTGGGGCTGAAGTCAGAGAGGACCAACGAGGCTCACCCTACTCCCTGCTCACAAGGAGGTGTATATGGCCCCCAAGCCGCCCACTGGCCGCTCTGCGCCATAGGCGGCCTCACGTCCTGTGGCTTGTGGAAAAGTGATCTCCACATGGCCATTCAAACAGCCTTTCTCAGACCTCTTCGGGCTTCTTAAGGAATTCTGGAAAGTCACTCCCTCAGGGTGGAGGGACGATCATTTCTCTTTGAAAATTTTAAGTTTATTTATTTTGAGAGAGACAGAGACAACGTGAATGGGGAGGGGAAGAGAGATGGGGGGAGAGAGAGAGAGAGAGAGAGAGAGAGAGAGAGAGAATCACAAGCAGGGTCCAAGCTGTCAGCACAAGCCCGATGCGGGGCTCGAACTCACGAAATCGTGAGATCACGACTTGAGCAGAAATCAAGAGGTGGGTGCTTAACTGACTGAGCCACCCAGGCGCCCCTGATCGTTTCTTTAAGCCTCGGCCAGCCTGCGACTCCCCCAGCTCACCAGGGTGTAGTTCTTCTGGAAATGGGCTCCATCGCTGCGGAAGGTCTGCGCCAGGGCCGTCTTGCCCACTGCCGGGTCTCCTGTGAGGTCGGAGTAGAAGAAAGGCATCATTTCCGGCCTGATCTGACTTGAGAAGGCCCCGCTCCGGAACGCTAGTTAGGAACCGGAAACTTCAATGAGTTGTCAGAGAAAATGTACTTGACTCTCATGGGGACTTGGGAGGGGGCTGACAGGGCCGCGGGTCCGGGAGACCAATCTTCAAAGCCCGGTTGCATTTCTTCAAGGGTGATCCTTTCATCCCAAAGAACTGACCCAGAAGGTAACAGCTTAAGGAGGGCTTCAGAGCGCTGGAAACAGAACTGACACACTCTTCCACTGCACACACCCCATGGGGAAAAACTGTCACTTTCAAACTTGAACGTACTTTGAAGTCTTGATGGTAAAGAGCTCAGTCTCATAGGCTCACCTGCCTAGCGGAACCAATTTGAGTTCAAGGCTCCCATACTTAGGACCCTGCACGCTTCTTTCGGGGCGGGGGGGGGGGGGGGGGGGGGGGGGGGGGGGGGGGACGGGAGTTGGGAGGGTGTCTGCATTTATGGGAAGCACGGAGTCAGCTGTTAGTCTGCCAGCCTGAAATCCGTTCCCAAGTGACACATTCCACTCCCGCCTCGGTGGGCCTGAGACCACTGCGGATCCACCTTCCCGGCGGGCCTCTTCTGGTCTATCCTCAAAGGCTACCGTTTCCTCCAAGCTGGCCTTACCTCTCCCCCCTGCCCCCGGGCTTATATCCTCATTCGCGGGTCCACGGCCCCATAAGCTGGTATCTCCAAACTAAAGGTTTATGTCATACTTTGAGTATGAGATCTGGACCTTTTTTTTTTTTTTTTTTTAATGTTTTTATTTATTTCTGAGAGAGAGAGACAGTGTGAGCAGGGGAGGGTCAGAAAGAGAGGGAGTCACAGAATCCGAAGACAGGCTCCAGGCTCTGAGCTAGCTGTCAGTACAGAGCCCTACACAGGGCTCAAACCCACGAATGGCGAGATCATGACCTGAGCTGAAGCCAGATGTTCAACTGACTGAGCCACCCAGGCGCCCTGAGATCTGGACCTTTTGCAAGACGGTGGGGAGCAATTTAATCGGGAGGCTCTCCCCTACTCCCCAAGGGGCTGCAGGCTTTCCATGGCCACCCTTAATTCCCCTTTCCCACCCCCCGCCCCTTCCCCGTGGCCCTGCTCTGCCTCTGGTGACGCCAGCCTGTTCTCATCTGCAACATCTTCTGGGCCATGAGGGTTACACAGGTCCTCTGTCACCGGGGCCCAGGCTCCTCAGCAAAACCGCCACTGTGCTCGCATCCCTCTGACTTGTGCCCTTGGGTATGATGGCCTCGCCTTTGCTGTTATACGGTCGGCTTCCGCGTGCGCCTCTTGACTTCTGCACGGCCCGCTGCTCTGTTCACTTTGCGGTTTTGACTTTTCCCACCTATAATTTTCTCTTGCGAGGCAATTACTTGCCTACTTGTGGCGTTTCATCTCCTGTGCACTCCTCGAGGGCTGAGTGAGCTATTCAGTCTTGCTTTTCTATTTACCACCGCGTCTTAGAAGGGAAGCATTCCCATGGTCCTGTTCCCTCCTTCCCAGCCCCCGCCCCCCACCGTGACCACATTAACCAAGTCTGACAGATGAAGATTCCGAGGCTCCGAGAAGGCTGGGTAACCGGCGCAGGATTCCTACAGCTCACTCTCCCCGTCAGACCCCACGCCTCTCCTGGTGCTCAGGGCCGCTCCTGACCCATTTCTATCACTACCCCGCGGGCCCCCATCGCCGCAGGCTTGCTTGACATCGGGGGCGACCAGGGCTGCACGGTGGCCGGGCACCCATCCGTCTTCGAACAAACAGAGCATCACTTCCTCTCTTGTGCTCTGGCTGTCTCCCTCCACCCGCCCGACTCCCAGTTTTGCTTCTGAATCCTCTTGGAAATTGGCTCTTCCTGCTCGTGAAATTCCCCACAGATTTGTTCTAGTTAATTTCATAAATGTTCCTTCCGACTGTCAGTCAGAGTCACCCACACTCCAGGAAAACCTCGAGCGCCGGCTGAGGAGGGATCCGGCACAAGGAAGGGAAGTAACTGATAAACACATTTGCAGAGCATCACAATGATAAGTGCAAAGGCAAACAGCGCAAGCTGAGAACCAAAGTGTCTGAGGGCGCGGCGAGGAAAGAACCGAATGAGCAGTTGCGGCAGCAGCGAGGCGGGGGGGGGGCTGAGCTGGGGGACGGCAGGGCGGGGCACTGCCTGACAGAGAGGGTGATGCCCGCAATGGCACCATGCGAGGTCACTCCCAAGTCCAAGGGCTTTTGCTCGGCCCTCATGCACCTTGGGGTCTCTGAAGGATGAGTCAGCAGCCCCCTCCCTCCCAGGCCCTGTGGCCCCGGTGTCCACACTGGCCTGGTTCTCCTGCCTCCGAACGTGGGCACTCCTGTGGGTCTGTCCTTGGCCGTCTGCCCCCAGCTGGTCTGTCCTGTTTACTCTCCCTGTCACTTCCCTCCCCTTGCTTGGTCTCTATCTCCAACAACCTGTGGATGTTTCCACCACAATGCTGGGCCTTCAGCCAACCTCTCTGTTGACAGCCAGGCTCGTGTCACACCCCCAGGTCCCCAGAGGTCTTGCTCACCTAACTCACTACTTCTGCCCACGTCGCCATTCGCTCACACCTCCCAGCTGCACCCGGTCACCTGTGATTGCCGTCTCTTGTTCACTCCTGATGTCCCCTGCTATATCTCAAGTCTGCCTCGCCTTTGTCGCCCCTGCTGACGGATCACTAGTTATCTCAGACCTCGGGCTGGGCTCTGTGTCCTGCCTTGTGAGGTGGGGGCCGGGACCCTGCAAACAGGTGTCTCCTTTGCCAGCGGCTTTCTGTCCGACTCTGCCAGTGCACGTTCTAGAGAAAGACTGGAGGGGAGGGGGTGGGGGGGAAGGGGGGATGGATTTGCCCCTTTCCACGTGCCTGCTGTCTCTCTTAGCAGGACGCCGGCAATGGCCTTCACTCCAGCAGTAGGAAGCTACTTCTCTCCAGTTTATTACTGGACCCGCCTTATTACTCCCGCTCAGAGATGCCAGCATCGGGGAGCAGGGCCCCCTTCTCAGAGATCTGCATCTCGGCTCCCCAGGGCCTTCCTGAGCTTCGGACAACCTGTCTGCCTCCCTGCTCCCCCAGCCCTGGGATGGGCCCCTTCCTGCAGCTACTCTTGGTGCTGCCTTCTTGTCCCTTCATCGTTCCAGGCCCCCTGTCTGATTGACACCCTGCAGGAAATGCTCATTGTTGCTACACCTACCGGAGTTCTGCTTTTTTGCCTGGACCCTGACTATGCAGCACTTGGTAGTGAGTGGTCTGGAGTGGCTTTGGTCACGTCTTGCCCTGAACATGGGGCTGAGCTCTCTGCCAGTGGGAGACGGGTGGCGATCCATGGCACAGGGTGGCATCGCGCGCTGCTGACTCAGTTCCTTGGGGTACCTACCACCCCAGCAGAGCAGTGCCCCCTCCTCTTCAGGGATCGGGACCCCAGCTCTGTGGGGCTCTTCCTCAAGCGTCTGACAACCCGGCCTCTATCTACCCCCGCTGTGCCATCTCAATGTTCTCTTCTTTCCAGTTCTCCAACCCCTACGGAGCCAGTTCCGTATATTAAAATGCCTCCAGTCTGTTTTTTTTTTTTTAATATTTTTATTTATTTCTAGGAGAGAGACAGCACGAGCAGGGGAGGGTCAGAGAGAGAGGGAGATACAGACTCTGAAATAGGCTCCAGGCTCCGAGCCGGCAGGCAGCACAGAGCCCGATGCGGGGCTCAAACCCACGAACCGCGAGATCATGACCTAAGCGAAAGTCGGACGCTTAACCGACTAAGCCACCCAGGCACCCTGCCTCCAGTCTGTTTTCTTGACTGGGTCTTGCCCGAAGCTCTCCCCACCTGGCCCGCTCTGCGTTTCACTTTTCTCTCTGCTCCACCTACCCTGTCGATCCCAACAGATGGAACTTTCTAGGACAGTGTGGCATCTGGTCATGCTTTCACACAAGACCCACCAAGGATTCCTTCTACTGTGGACCGCTCTCCATGGTCCACCTCGATTCCACCTCCCACTTGCTCTCTGACTCTCCCTTAGGCCAAATCTGGGCTCTATACCCCTGCTCTCTTGATCTTGGAGAATCCCTCAAAGGTAACCTTCCAGGACTCCCCGTCCAAGTTCGAGTTCTCTGCCAGATGAGATTCAGAACAGTGTCCTTCTGCCACAGCCTCTGAAGGTCACCTCTCCCTCTTGACTACACCTGAGGGGCTCACTGATGGTAGCACGAGGCTTGTCAGAGCCCCCTTCTGGCGAGACACTACTACAATCCCCACTGCTATCGAGGGGCAGTAAACCAAAGTACGCAGGGCACACACTGCAGCTCTGCCCCTTGCTGGCTGTGTGACCTCGGGTCAGCAATCTCTCTGGGCCTCAGTTGCCATTTCTGCAAAATGGGAAGAAGAGCACCCATCTCGTAGAATTGTTATGAGGATTTAATGAGCTAATATGGGCAGTGCCTGACATACATTAAGTAATACGTAAGTGATTTTTAGGTCAATAAAACAGATACGTGTCAAGGGCTGTAGCTTCTCATCTGAGCCAGAATAACAAGTAGCTGTGCTTTGAGGGATTTCTCTGGTATCTGGAACACACATGGCATTCTATCTGTGTCTGCCTGATTATAAAGTATTCTGCACATCTCAGCACTCCCGTGAGTGTAGGGGCTGGTCTGGTTCATCCCTCTATTCACGCTGTACCTTGCATGATGACTCACACATAAGTGCTCAATAAATATCTGTCGAAAGAGGGGCACCTGGGTGGCTCAGGCAGTTAAGTATCCAACTTCGGCTCAGGTCATGATCTCACAGTTCGTGGGTTAGAGCCCCACATGGGGCTCTGTGCTGATAGCCAGCTCAGAGCCTGGAGCCTGTTTCCGATTCTGTGTCTCCCTCTCTCTCTGACCCTCCCCTGTTCATGCTCTCTCTCTCTGTCAGAAATAAATAAAACATTGAAAAAATATATATTTAAAAAAATATCTGTTGAATGAATAAAAGCGCTTGAATTTCAAATATCAGGTCCCTCAATGACTACTTATAAGAGAGAGAGAAAAAAAAGATAAACTCCATTTAAATAGTGGGCCTGGGAAGGGAGAGGAAAAATAAAACCGTGAGGGGGGTGTATGTGTGGGGGCAGTGTAAAGAATGATAATTTGGTGGGTGGTGGGGGAAGGGGGGCCTGATTTGCCATGCTGAGGTCTTTTGGTTCCTGGAAACTTCCAAGAGGAAATGTCATCGAGGCCCTGAAAGGAGGCTGAAGCTGGGGACGAGACTGAAGTTCAAGAATCACTCAGGCAGTGGCTGAAATCAGGTGAAATAGGACCCGAGGGGCTGGGTGTAAAGACGGGCAAAGAGTCTAGAATTGAGGCTTGAGGATGGTCTAGCCGGGGGCTAAAAACAAAGTCCTGGAAACCAGATCACCTGGGTCCGGAGGCCAGCTCTGCTGCATCCAGCTGTGTGACCCAGGGCAAGCGTCTTAACCTCTCTGGGCCTCGGATGCCCAGTCTGTAAATGAGGATGTCAAGCATACCGATCCCACAGGGTTCTTGAGTGGACTCCGGGAGATCCCTGTGTTGAGGGCTCGAGTACAGTGCTGGCACACAGAGGGTACTCAGTAAGTTAGCCCCACAACAGAAGCTGAATTAAAACAGAAATAAGAGAGACGACAGTCGGAGAAGCCCATTTAAAAAAATATACAACCTCAGGAAATAAAAACGTCCTTATCCGATCCCCGAGGAAACTGAGGCTTAGAGAAAGGCTGTGCCCAGGACGACACAGCCCTTCAAAGGAACAGCCAGAATTACTTTTGTTACACAATACTGCCTCCCCTGGCATTCTGGAAACCAGAGACCTCTCTTGAGAACCATTAGTTTTTGCTCCAGTAGGACCTGAGTTACTATTGTCAGGCACCTTTCTGTGTGACCCTTTTCTTTTCAAATCGGAAAAGCCATTAAAAATATCAATTTCAGTCTGAAAGAGAGGGAATCAAAGTTTTGGGGTTTTTTTCCCCTCTGTACCGTTTCTTACCATTTCTTTCCTGAGCTGGTCACGGAATGCCGGAGAGACCTTGGGGTTCAACGGTAACGCAAGGGAAGAGTTTTGCAGTTGGGCAGGTTTGGGGAGGGGGCCTGAAATCCTGCCCATGACTTTCCTTCGCAAGGGGGTGACCTTAGGCAAGAGACTTGACCTCTCAGTGCCTCAGTGACATCAGAACAATACAGCACCTAGGCCAGCGTGCTCCACGGAGGGGACTGAACGAAGTACGTGTGCCTGGCGTGCACTGAGGACTCAGTAAAGCACATGTGTGCCGGGCCCCAGGTCAAAATGCAAGCAAATATTTTCCTAAATGGGCAGACATACACAGGGCACAGTACAAACGTGAATGTCGTATTGTCATTCATTCCACAAACAGTTATTGAGTACCTCCAGGGTTCCAGATATTGTTCAGGAAGCTTGGGACATAAGAGTCACCAAAACAAAGATTCCTGCCTTGAGGGGATTCAACATTTATGACCTCCTGAGTGTAGGGCAGCATGGGAAGTCTGGCTCTTAAAAACAACACACATGGCCCTTTTGCAAACTCTGGCCGACTGTACATTACTGTTTCCTATCCCTGTTATCAGAGGGGGTGGGGTCAGGGGGGAAAAAAATCCCACAACTACTGACTACCAAACTCTAACATTGGGATACACTCCAGTTTGGAAGAAGCACTTAGGGTGTGCTTAGCCTGATTTTTTTTTTTTTTTTTTGAAACGAGTCTACTCTTCCTGCATATTGCTTAAACCGGTGAAGGTGGTCTCGGGTTATGACACGGGGTGGGATATCTGCAGGAGCTACAAATATGCTCTGGAAGATAATTCTTCCACCCCTAATGGAATTTACTCTAACAGTAATTGCATTAACTCGCCTTTGGAGGAGAGAAAGGGAATGAGGGTAGGCAATTTACGCGAACAAAAGCTCTCAATAACTTAGGAAGTCTCTGGACTCTGGAGACTAAATTTCAAACTCACCTGCCAAGATGCATTTGGCCGCCAGCTTCACCATGGTAACCAAACCACCTCCGCGGACCAGACAGGGGAAGAGCGGCTGCTAGAGGCGTTGGGGTGCCTGCCTGGGAAGGGACGTGGGGAGACGGCCGACACTCAAGAGGCCTGGGACCGCGGTGGGGACAGGGACAATGGGGCCTGGACCCTCTGGGTCGGGGGCGGCTGTCGGGCGAGAGGGTCCGGGCGGAGGCGCAGAGGAGCGCCAGATGGGGCCCGGCTCCAATCCTCAGAAAGCAGCCTGGAAGGTGCGAGCGTGGCGACGCGGATCCCGTTCCCAGCCTAGCCCCTGGCAACCGGGATCGCAAAGCGTGACGCCGCAGCCATCAGACCCCAAGCCCCAGCGCCGTGCCAGACGCGCTCACCGGGCAACCACGGCCAAGCTGCCCCGCCTCCTCATCCTCCTCGCTGACCCTCCATTGGCTGCCGCCAAAAGCTCCCACCCCGAAGGCTCTCAGAGGCCAATGGGAGAAGGGGGCGTGGCTCACAGCTCTCCCCGGCCAGACAATTCTTAGTAGTATCTGCCCCTCAAGCTCATCTCGCTTTACGAATGGTTACGGGAGATGTCAATCATTTTACCTCCCGTCCCCGCGCCGCGGGAAAGTTCAGGGAAAAGTAATTCCAACCTCCTCTACCTAGAAGCGTTGAAAAGAGAAGCTTTCTGATTGGCCAGAGGCTGGCTTGGACCATTTTCGGGGAAGAAGGAGGGTAGGATTCGTCTCTTCCCCCGCCCTTCCGGAAGTGAGTTCGCCCAGGAGGGGCGCTTCTGGGGCGCGGGAGTTTGCAGCGGCGCCTGCGCAGTAACGAGGCCGCCGCTGCGGAAGCGGAGCTGTGCGCCGGTTGGACTTCGTCGGGGTTCTTGGGATTCCAGTTCGCGCGCTCCTGGGAGCAAGACTGTGAAATCCGATTCTTGCCCCACATCCCGCAGGGAAGTCTTATTTTTAAAGCCCAGCGATATTATGCGCTGCCAAACGTAAAATGTGAAAGTATTTCTAGAGATGTCTGTGAAAAGAAGGGGAGAACAAGTAAACTTTGACCAGGGGGAGGGGTTGGACTCGGGACTTCGAAGTCCTACTTTCCGCCGAGCCCATTTCCTCGCGTGTAAACTGGAGAACGGATGACCTGACACATAATGAATGAGAGCCGGCCTCCAGGACGTTGCCCGTCACACAGGGAGGCTGCGCCCATCTCTGCTGACCTTTCCGGGAGGCCCCTCTTGCTCTGCGATCAGGCTGAAATCACGGCCGTCTTCCCGGCCTCTTCGCTCTGTTATACCCAGATCGCAGTATCCTCACCGACCAGAGACCACCAGGGAGACCGAGTCACGCATGCAAAGGCAAAGGGCTTTATTACGGTCTCAAGCTCGGGCTCACAGACTTCACCAGCGTGTGGGTCCGTGCTGAGAGCCTCGAACAAGGGCAGAGTAGGGTTTTTATGGGATTTGAGACGGGGGAGTTACAGAAGTTGTGACATGGGAACAGTGATCCAATCATAATTATTCAACATCATTGACAGCGGGTTTGACCATACACATTGTCTAGAGTATTTGTTACTTTTGGCGGGATCCAATTACAACATTTAGAGTACCTTTAAATTCAACCAATCGCAGAGCAAGCCTAGGGTCTTGTTCGGCGACTAACAGGTTAACTTTAACATTAGGTAACAGGGTCCTATCTATAGTTTCTATCTCCAGGCCTCTCCCTTAACAATGTGGAGGGTGGTCGCTGGCCTTTCCTGATTGGGTGTTGCAAGGGTGGTTACTCCTGGCTTGGGCAATGTAAGCCGAAACTCAGGCCTTCAGTTTAGAGGGGAAACTTAAAGCCTGTCATGGAGTCAGTTTGGTTTAGACGTTTAGACTTGTGGCCTTACAGCTCATCTGTAAAGATGGGCTAGCAGACCCCACCTCTGGGGTTGTCCTGAGGAGCAAACGAGGGAAGGAAATTTGAGTGTTGAATGGATGAAAGAGAAGAAACTTACCGGGACAGACTGGCTTATCACCAACATGGTGATGACACCATGGCCAGATTCACCCCCGTCGTCACTCCTGCTGCTGGTCCCCCGCACCCCCTCCGGGATGGCTGGCTGGCCGAGAGGGAGGAGCAGCCCCTGGGTGAACATGCCTGCACCCAGGATTCCCATCAGTTACCGTTCAGTTACCAGGCACTTCTGTCAGCTGCTCTGTGACTGTGTGGCTGCCAGCCGCTTGCGGGGCACTGAACACACACGCACTCACCCAATTGCTATGAAGGTTTCAGCCTGGAATCTGGAGGAAAACAGTACAAGTCGTCTGGAATTTTCTTAACTTAGGAATCATTCCCGGTATGGTGGAGACCTGTCTGTCCTTCATTCTTTTGACCTGCTTTTCTGTCTGTCCTTCGTTCTTTTGACCTGCTTTTCTTCTTTGACGACATTGAGCACAGCCGTCTTAGGCCAGGGTGAGTCACAATGCTTCTGCCTAGGCTTCCTGCTTCCGCCTCCAGGCTGTGCTATTCATCATGACCCCGTTAACCCCTCAAAGGACGCCTTGACTGAGTCACCCACCTGAGGCGGCTGTGTGGAGCGAAGACATGGAGACATATCGCGGTGGGGGGGGGGGGCGGGTGGTAGCCTTCTGGAACCTCAGTTCCCTCATCTGCAAGGGCACCTCCCTCGTAGGCTGTTGTGCTCTGCACCACGTCCACGCTTCCTCTCGTGGTTGCTACTCTGTGGTTTTGGTCAGCACAATTCGAAGAGTATTTTGGATTTTTCCAGCAAGGGGCTACACCGCGTATAACAATTTCTACTCCACTGCCTCCACGATACCAAGGGCCTTCTCTATATTCTTGATGACTAATGACAGCTGCCTGCCTGTCACTGGGTTTAAAGAGGTCAGAGGATCTTGGAGCCATGAGGGCCCTTGAGAAATTCTAGTCTCACCCCTCCCTGATCTAGTCTCACCCCTCCCTGGGCAGCCGTGACAGCGAGTACTGTCGCATATGTTGTGTACTTACTGAAGGCTGGCCTTATTTTAAGCACCTTAAAGGATTACTTGATTGAATATTCATGTGCATATTTGATATGCAAAGGAAGCCCTGTGAGGCGTGTATCATCCCTGTTTGATAGATGAGGAAACTGAGGCCCCAATGAGGTAAAAGTCTAATGCCCGGAGCCACAGAGCTGGTGACTGGCAGAACCAGGGGTTGAATGCAAGTAGGCTGTCAACCCCTTTGGCCCCAACGGCGATCTGTCCAGCCTCCAAGGCCTCGCACACTCCTTTCCACCCTAGGGAATAGATGCTTGTTAAGTTCCCCGCAGTGAAAGTAGAACATCACGTGCCAGGCATGTGCTAAACGCTTCACATCTTGTGCAATGCAGTGACTCTGGGAAGTGGGACCCTATCACTGCTTCAGTTTAACAGGCAGGACAGTGAGGTCCGGGGATGGCCCAAGGTCATGCAACATGTCAGCTGGAGTCCGAACCGACCTCGAGCCTGATGCTCTTGAAACCAGTGTCTTCCTCCATTTCCTGTGTGCGGTCCCACCAGCTTCATTAACAAGCTTTCCTTGAGTGCCTGCCCTAGGCCAGGCGCTGTGCCGGTGGCTGGGGTCATGAAGTCAAAGTGACAGAGGCCCTGGCGACTGTTGCATTGTGGCCCCGTGGGAGTGCCGGCCAGTGCTGCAGGCCTGTTTTCTAGAGGAGGCAGGAATCCGGATTTTGTGTGGAATCCCCCTGACTCTCAGATTTTGGCAGTGCGCTTCAACGTAAACCACTGCAGCCTGGGTAGAAACGCCTGCCTGGCGTGGACACAGGTAATCGAGCAGCGATGACCTATGACTGCATGTGGGTAAGTGTTGGGTAGGGAAGGACTTGGTGCAATTAAAAAAAAAAAACCACTCTTTGGCGGCGCCTGGGTAGCTCAGTTGATTAAGCAGCAGGCTCTTGATTTCACCTGCGGTCAGGGTGTCATAGTGAGTGGGATCGAGCCCCTCATTGGGCTCCGCGTTGAGCACGGAGCCGGCTTAAAATCCTCCGGGCTCCTGGGTGGCTCAGTCGGTTAAGCATCCGACTTCGGCTCAGGTCATGATCTTGCAGTTTGAAAGTTCGAGCCTCATGTCTAGCTCTGTGCTGACAGCACAGACCCTGCTTGGAATTCTCTGTCTCTCCCTCTCTCTGCCCCTCCCCTGCTTGTGTTCTCTCTCTCTCAAGATGAATAAATACACTTAAAAAAAAAGATTCTCTCTTCCACTCTCTCTGCTCCTCTCCCCTGCTCACACTCTCTCTGTAAACAAACAAATAAATATTTTAAAAGAAGAAGAAAAGAAGAAAATACGCCTGGCTATGGTCCCTGGACCAGCAACTCCAGCACCGCACAGTGACTTGTTGGAAATGCTCATTCCTAGGCCCCACCCCTGGCCAACTGGGCACTGCGGGCACAACCCACGATCTGTTTCTGGAAGCCTTTTTGGTGATTCTGATTCATGCCGTCGTTTGAGATCCTCTGCTCTCGGGTCACGCCAGGACCCGCCTTTATCCATTTTCTCTGTTTTACTGCTTCTCACCCTCCCTGAGACCCCTCCTACCTCAGGGCCTTTTCACATACTGTTCTCAACATGACTGTGTGACTCTTTCCCTCGCAGCCTTCATATCTGTGTCCACACGTCATCTCGGAGAGGCCCTCCCACGCACCCACTTTAAAGAATCATCGCCAATCTGTCGATCTCACTCTCTTTGCCTTTCCTTTCTTCAGGGCAGTCCCCACTACCTGATATTATATCCCCTACTTATTAGTTTATTTGTATAGTATCTGTCCCCCTCCCCTAGAAGGAGAGCTTCCTGGGAATGGGGCACTTGGCCTCTTTTGTCCTCCCAAGATCTGGGACAGTGCCCAGCGCGGTCACATGCTTGGTAAATAGTGTCACCTGGAGGACTGGATCTTGTCCAGTTGACCCTTCTGGTCATTCATTCATTCCACAAGCACTGATTCGCCAACACCAGTTCCTGTGCAGGCAGTAGGCTTATTGCTGGAAGGAGTCATTGGCCGTTCACGTGGGGGCAGCCCGGGTCCTCTGCTGCCTCCCACCCCATCGTACACGGGCTCCCGACCAGAAGAACCTCCAAGAGCCTATAGAGCCATAGACTTTGTGGAGGTGGACGGATTCGTACCGCTGCTCCCCGAAGCCAGGGTCAGGGCTGTTTGGGCTGATTTGGAAGTGAGGACGTTGGGTGAGGCAACTACTGACAAGTGGTTCCCAGGGCATCATTCTGGGGTTGGATGCTTCCCGACAGCCCTGACAAGCAGGCTGCGCCTGAGCTGCGGCTCAGTGCCAGGGGCAGCCGCAGTATTCCACGCCCGTGCCCGCCGATCATGCCCACTGCGTGGCCCAGGCACCTCTGTCGTTGCTTCAAGGGGTTCT